AAAGAGTCTTTTATTCTGTCCTTACGTACAGATGTCACGCAAAAACATCGTTAGGTTGCATTCGATAGAGGTCAAAATGGATAATTTCGTTGAAATATTTTACCTGGAATTTTTCGTAATTACAGTACTTCCTTTACTTCGTATAAGGAAGTAAAAATACTACAGTTTTACACATAATTTCACTAAAATTATTTACATATGTACATTCGTAACAATATTATTTCTTATTATAATTTACGATTACAAGAACTTATTTTGGGGTAAACTTAAAACGATTATTTATATTAAGCGCTTACTTTTTTTCCATTTATTATTTACAGACTTCGAAACTAGATTCTTCTAGTGATATGAAAAATATCGCAGAACTAAGAATACAAGAACTGGAAGAAAAGATAGAAATCATGGGTTTAGATTTCGAATTCGCCCAGAAACGTGAATCAGAGCTTCGATCTGCATTGCAACAATCAAAAGAGTTTCAAAGAACTTTGGAAGAAGAAATAACTGCTACAAAAGTAGAGTTGCGCCAGTATAAATCTCGAGGAGAAGCAGCTGAGCTAAAAATTTCAGAAAAAGACAAAGAGTTAAAGATGGATAAAAAAATCATTGAGAATCTTCAACGGGAAGTTCAGAAAATAAAAAGTCAAAGTCTCTTCAGCAAAGGAAGTTATAAAACGTAATTTATTTGCTGAATTATTAGTATAATCATCTTATTTGATTGAAAGATTAACAATCATTAATAATTTTAAAAACTATTTTTTCTCTTTTTTAAATCAATTACTGCAAAACAGTAGGCATGTTTTAAATGTCATTATTATAGCTTTTAATATATTAGCCCAAACGGCGTTAGCCCAGAAGGGCTATTAATTTCGTTTTGGCATTTGAAGTTGATTCACTTTTCAAACTGTTGCCACCAAATATTACAGCCCTGCATCATAGTTAAAGAAATTAAACAATGAAGAATCTGCATAAATGTATGTATGTTTCTCGCACTGCGATAAAACAACGGCACCTAGAGCCATCAAATTTTAAATAACGTAATCTTCCACCGAATATGGGCATCTGGAAGACCAAATTTGGAATCTGGAATTTGCTTTATCATCTATTTCATATTTTGTGAAACTTTAACGAATTTTTGATTAACAAACTCAACGATTTCACAGCGTTCATTAACATTATCGAGTGCATCTTCAAGCACGGATATTTTATGCGCAAGGTTTCTTTACAATTTTTTACTGATATTATGCCTAGCAACGCAAAAAGGTTATAATGTCTCACTGTATTTTGAGTGGAATGACTTTGAATGTATGTTTCACTTTTCAAATCCCGTTTTGAATTAAAAACTGGCTGCTCGTGGGGAAGGGGGGTTGTATGATTTCTTCTTTCTTGAATATATTTTTATTTTATGTTATATTTTTAATCACAATTCTTATTTTTATATTTTTTTCTTTTAAAAGAATTTTAATTTCATTATTTAATTTTCGTGGTTAAACTATAGTTCTTTAAATAGTTATTTTAAAAAGTGTTATTTATTCATTGACATTGCATACTTCAAGCACGTTTATTCATAACATATATTTAATCTGATTTTGTTTATTTGAATTGCATTTCTTTGGAAAGAATACTTTGCGACCCAAAATTGGTCACAATACTTTTGAAAACTGTATTCTGCATTAAAAGCGAAAATACCATAAAGTCCGGTTAATACCCCTTTCAATGGGCCTTTCAGAAAATATACACTGCTCGACATTGAAAATGCAACACCACGAAGGAGTGGCAGAAAGTAATGAAATTTGAAAAAAAGACAGAGATAACAAGCAGCAATAAGTGATCTTTATTTCATAATGATTAGTCAGAATACAGAGCAAGAACGGCGTCGGCTCAGCAGAATGTAGGACCACAGCGGACAGCGATGCACGAAGAAACACGTCTAGACATAGAGTCAATAAGAATGCAGATGGTGTCTTGAGGGATGGCTCTCCATTCCCTTTCAACCATTTGCCACAGTTCGCCTTCTGAACGAGGCAGGGGCTGAGTCTGCAAACGGCGTCCAATCACATCCCACACATGTTCGATTGGTGACAGGTCAGGAGAGTACACAGAGTGGACAGGGAAGCATCTGTATACATTGCAGAGCATTGTTGACAAATGCGAGCACTGTGTGGTCGGGCGTTATCCTGCTGAAAAATTGCAATAGGCAGCCCCTGAAGGTAAGGGATTACCACCGGCCGCAGTACATTATCCAAGTATCGTTGGGCCGTCATAGTGCCCTGAATACGAACTAGAGGTGACCTGGAATCGTAGGCAATAGCGCCCCAAACCATTATGCCACGTTATCGCGTGGTGGGGCGTTCCACAGTTACTGCTATATTAGATCTGTCTCCACGTCGACGCCACACACGTATGTGGCGACTGTCACTGGATAAACAGAAGCGTGACTCACCTGAGAACACGACGTTTCGCCATTCTGTCATCCACATCGCTTCAGTCCGGCATCATTCTAAACGTTGGCGTTTATGCTGTGGAGTCAATGGCAGTCTTCTTAACGGACGCCGTGAGTGCAGGCCACTTTCAACCAATCGACGGGAAATGGCTCTGGTCGACATGGGAACATCCAGGGTATCTTGCACATGCTGCAGAATCGCGGTACAAGTGACTTGCGGGACCGCCACAGCTTGTCGGCGGATGCGTCGATCCGCGAGTGCTGACGTCACTCTGGCTGCACCTGCGCCCCTCCTTCTTCCCACATTCCATGTTCCAACCATGTTCGCGATAGCCGATGCACCGTACTCGCATCCATGTGGGTATCAGCTGCGATTTAACGTAAGGACCAACCCGCCCTTCTCAGTCCGATCACCATACCCCTCGTACAATCGTCTATCTGCTGGAAGTGCCTTCGTTGACGGCGGCCTGTCATTCTCTCCTATTACACGCATCCTCCGGAACAAAAACCAACTTTCTTCGATAATTCGTCTGGCAGAAATAACGACACGAATATTGCCCATTCTTCACTTGCGTCGGAGAGCTGCGCATTTCACATCATTCGCATAACTCAGTGACGTGCGTCTTCTCTAAAATTTACATAAATTTCTGACCACTCCTTCTTGGTGTTGCATTTTCAATGTCGAGCAGTGTATATAAATAAGAAAGATGAATAATCTACGTTTTAATTTAGAATGATATGCACACAAACAATTTTTCTCAGTTTTACCACTGTGCCATTGTTTACCCAATTTTATCATCCTACACTTCTTTGTTTCTTCTACTAACTTGTTAAAACTACTAGTTGTTAAAGTATTAACCAAATTTCCGAATAAGTTCATATATTTTAAATCGCAAGAATCAAATAGCATAAAAAAGACAAATTTCATAAAAGAAATAAATAGATAAATAAAATTAAATAAATAAATAAAAATTTTTAAAAATGTGTTATCTTCTTTGCCTTGCATTTTTTTTCTTAATTGCTTATAGCCACAAGAAAACTTTAAAGCCTTAATGATTTTCTTGAGACACTCTGCAGATATATCCGGGATAGTCCTTCCCTTTTTCATATCCTATAATTCTATATAATTTCGCTTTTAAAACAACTTATTTTTGTGACATTCTTATGAGCAGAGGCATCGCCTTTTGTTTTATCAATACTTGTTCAAAGGAAAAATAAAGAAATGATTTTCTCCATGATACTGAACATCTTTGGAGGCTACCCATCTTGACAGCAGGAGATGAAAGAAAAGACTTGTTTTATCAAGAGAAATTTTTGGATACTCCAGTTTTTGATATCACATAACATTATAAGATGGGATGTTATTTCTTGTATCTTTTTCGTTAGCGTAGAATTTTGATTTTCTAGAATATTTGACGCACTGCGCTGAGGAAAAACCTCGTGGTTTTAACCTCCAGATATTGCACTGATTCCCTGTCATCTTTGGAGATTGTATTTGTGTTACCTTTGTGTGTAAAGTGTACTTGTGTAAGCGTTTTGCGTCTTACATTTATTTATTAAATATCATGTTCTTCGCACTTGAACCATAAAATTCAATTCAACAGCAATATCGCAAAATTATTTAAAAAAGAGCATATCTTTAGAATTTCCGATACACAGTTTCGAGCGCTGGAAGTAATTTTTTTTTTTTTTTTTTTCTGTGCAGTGTCGTCATTGCTCGCTTCGAAATCGCTCGGCTTCTTAATCAAAACCTCATAAATGTTTTACAAAATATGAAATAGATAGTAAAACAAATTCCAAATCTGGGCTTCCAGATGCCCATATTCGGGTGGAAACTTACGTTATTCAAAATTTGGTGGTTCTAGGTATCGTTGTTTTATCACAGTGCGAGAAACCTACATACATTTATGCACATTCTTCATTATTTAATTTCTTTAAATATAATACATATATAATAAATTTAAATTTTTACGTATATTCGCCGTATAACACGCACCCTATTCTGCCCGAAGAATCCCAAAAGATACATGTGCAATGCTCTTATCTTTTGGGGTCATTTATTCGAAAATGTGTCCTAGTTTTTTCGAACAATGGTAAACCGAATCGACAAGTGATAAGGGGAACAATATGTATGTGGATTAAATGCTTGAGAGAGTAAATATTCTTGCAAAGAGGGTGGATCGTATTCAATGCAGGTGTTCAAAATAATTCTATAGTAGAGTTTCGAGAAAAGGGGGATAAAATTTGGAGTAATAATGCACTTCTAACTTGAATGAATTCGTGGAATTAGGAGTTTGGTGTTTTATCTTTCTGTAGTCAACTGAATCCGTGATTTTGAAGTGAAAATCGAAGGCTTTAGTAAATGGGATTTGCTTTAGTTGAAGTACAGTTGATCTAGTCTTCCTTTTAGTAGTAAATATGGCTCCCGCGAAAAGAAGCGAATACAGTCCTCGTTTCAAATGCAAAGCCATTCAGTTTGCGAAAGAAAATGAAAATCGTGCTGCAGCAAGGGTATTTGGTGTTGGTGAAAGATGGAACGGATGCTGGTGATTATTTATTTATGGATCAGAGTAACAATGATGGTGAACAGCAGGGTTCATGTGGAGAATTCGATGCTGTGCCTGAAGGCATAATGGAAGACGAAGATGACGAACATTTAATGGTATCCAATAATGAGAATTTTAAAGTTCATAACGTAGCCATTTCTTTTAAATAAACAGCATTTAGATATTAGAAATCTAACTTTTTAATGCTCATTCCTTATTTTTATATCTATCATTTTTAGACGCAGAGTATAATGCGCACCCATAAATTTCAATCATATTTTTTGTATTGAAAGTGCACGTTATAGGCCGGAATATACGGCATTTCCAAAACCGCACAGTTCGCTAAGAAGTTGTTATTGATGGTGGGAAGATGCATTCAGTTTCTAGCTGAATAACGCAAGATTAAAAATCGTCGGCTTAAATTTTTAGCTATTTCACCTCAGTTTCTAAGGTAAACCTAATGTTACGTTATTTTCTGACATCAGTTGTTACGTTATTTTCTTCCTTCACGTTCGAACGGGGTTTGTGTGGATTTGGAGTGAATAACGACGACACTTGATGAAGTATCAAAAGACATTTTATTTAGCCAATATTAACCAGGACAGCTCCAAAACACTTTTACAATCGTCGAAGATCTACTATAAACACGCTGGAACAATCAGCAACACAGCCTTCCCACTGTCAGGCAATAACGGTGGAGACAGCTTCACTGCAAAGTACCAGATTACAGCTCTCGACTCTGCTCGTCGTTCTCGGAACTCCAAGCACTCTCGAGACTCTTCACGCTACAACTCGCGATGCACTCGACGACACAGAGCACAGCTCCCGACTCTTCGGTTCAGTCGTTCCCGGAGTTCAGCACACTCTCTCGACGATGGACTAAGAGACTCTTCGATGCTCTCGACGCCCCACTCGGCACTCGCTGCCCGGCTGTCAACCCGATCGACTCCCCACGGACTAACTGAGGAGACAGTATCTCGCACTCTAGACTCTCCGCGTACCAGCAGGGTTTATATAGGTTTTGGCTTGTGTACGAGAACATTGTGGGTTAGACCGGTAAGAATTCGTTCCAGAAGGTTCTCCATCCGTCCATGGCATATCGCCAATTCTGTCGCCAAATAGGCGATTTCTCGCCAAATGTGGCAATTCTGCCTTCCCTTGCCATTTTATGGATTGCTGCTTTGTGGGGAAGCTATCTTACCGTACCTGTACATTTCGTAACACTAATACCACTTTATCAAAATCTTACGAATTTTTTTATGTTTCTAAGGTGAATAACAATATTCGTCCAGTCTTTAGCTGAGATTCCAAGAACTTTAAGTGAACACAGCAATAGCAAATGAACTTTCATTTAGCATTTCGTTTGGTAATTTAAAACCTAAGGCGTTAAGAATCCCCTGTGCTGTTTGTGCCTGAGAGCATAAGTTTTAATATCTGCAAGTCAAACAGTAAGTTAAAATCTAATAAACTTTCTCCTAATTTAAGCGGTCCCACCAATGATCGAGCTGTTAAAGACTGTTGAATACTGGTAATTTGACCCGGAGTCCAAACCAGGAAGAGGAGCTAATAGCATGGTTTTCACGATTTCCCCATGTGCAACGAGATTACAAACCACTTTTTCACAGAAAAGTCCTCCAATTCAATTAATTCAGTTCTCACTTCGCAGCAAGGCAAAAAATACATAAAAACTCAAAACACCGTCATTAAAAATTGTTTAAACTACAGAAAAACATAAGACACCAGATTTAGTTAAAAACATTTAAAAAGAAATTTATTTTTTTCAGCTAAAATTAAAGTTTATACGTAAAAACAACAATTCAACCAGCGGACGCATTTTTCGGTGCACAAAACTGAAAGTTTACTTTTCGTTTCCCTCGGCAAAGACACTAAAGTTGGTGCACATACTGACTTAATTCGCTATTCTACTAAGAATTTCAAATGTAAGCAAATTGTGGCCTTGTTAGGCTTAGCAACATTTAAACTTTTAAGTTGTTGATAATTCTACAACTATTGCATGCGGATTAACTAAAGTCATAAAAACCTTAATCGGATCATAAGAACAACAAAATTCAATCACTTTTATATCTTAAAAGTGCATAATTTATCAACATATAAGGGGAAAAACTGAGCTCACCGACACAGGTAACAAGGTGGGAATATATATATGTTTAGTACAGCCGATTGCAATGAAAAAGGCAGGTGCACAACTACATCTTATAGCAATCCCATAAAATTTCAATGCTCTACGTTTACTCATTTTTTAGTTATGCGAGTTACATACGTAAGTACAGAATATCTTCTGTATCCATTTTAAATCCGTTTTGGGAAATTTTTCGCTATTACAATACTTCCCTTTACTTCATATATAAGAAAGTAAATACGCCAAATTTCAAAACGCAGCAGTACATAAATTTTCGTTTATCTTCGGAAATTTTAAATAAAAAAGCAGGTTTGCCTAGAAATACATACTATATTTCAAGATGATGGAAAAAATATTACACGTTATAACTTAATTTTTTAAAAAAATCATAAAAATCATTTCAAAATATTTTTTTAAAAATAAATCAGAAAAAAATGTGGGAATTTTATTTTGATTAAACTTAAATTTTGAATTATGAAAAAAGAAATTAAATATGTTTAATTTAAAATTAAATATTATTAAATACACGCGAAATTCAGTTAACATCGCGGGGTTAAAATTCTGTCTGCTAGTTTTAAAGAAACTGCCGCTACGAATTTTATGAAATTTAGCACTTTAGCCTAATTTGAAACGTAGAATCGAAATATGGAAAAAAAAAAAAAAAAAAAAAAACACGTCATTTCGGGAGAAGTCCAGTTTTGTATCGAAATACCGTATCTTAGAACAACGCTATATGCAAATATACCCTAAGTCGTACTTTCGAGGCAAGAAAGATGGAAGTTGAACTTCGTCAATTGGGCCAGTAGAATGAGAGATCATAGAACGGACATTTTTTTGTTTTGTTTTGTTTTTAGTGCAAAGGGGCAAGTTGCCCTGAAGGACAATTATTTTCGTTTCGGCATTTCGCGCTAGTTCACTATAAATGTTCAATTAACTTTTCAAATTGTTGCCACCAAATATTATCGCCCTGTGTCATATTTAAAGAAATTAAATAATGAAGAATTTGCATAAATGTATGTATGTTTCTCGCATTGTGATAAAACAACGGTACCTAGAGCCATCAAATTTTGAATGACGTAATCCTCCTACGAATATGGGCATATGGAAGACCAAATTTGAAATTTAGAATTTGTTTTATTATCGATTTCATATTTTGTAAAACGTTAACGAATTTTTGATTAACAAACTCAAGGATTTCAAAGCGAGCAAAGGCAACACTCTACGAAAAAGAAAAAAGAAAAAAAAACCCTTTTTATCGCCAACGTGCGGAAGTGTGTATCGGAAATTCTAAAGATATGCTCATTTTAAAATTCTTTTGCGACATTGCTGCTATTGAACTGAATTTTATGGTTTAAGTGCAAAGAACATGGTATTTAATAAATAAGGTTAACACCCAAAACGTTAAAAAAACGCCCTTTTGGAAGCAATTTAAAATCTGAAACCTTTCGGATTTTTTTTTTTTTTTTTTTTTTTTTTTTAATGCATTAATTTTTACTTCATAAAATTGAGAATTTCGGAAACATTTGGTCTGTTTGCAAAAATAGTACGTTACATTAATGACCGAAGAAGGTTTTTAGAAATTAAATTAAAATCTCTTGCTTAAATATTATTACGAATTTTGTACTTGGATAGGTAACTTTAGTAGAATTAAAAGTAAAGTTGCTGTATTTTTCTGTGTAATGTAACACGAAACAAATTTTTAAGAGAAAGCTATACCGGAAAAGTAAGAATACAGGGGCAAGTGACTTTAACATTGAGTAAATGGATATCTCGATAATTTGGCGAGATGACGATAAGCTGACAACGATGTATTTTGTATTTTGTAGCCCAATTTGGCAAGAAATCGCCAAAAGTCGCCAAACTTCGCGACCATTTGCAACATTTTGATCCGGTCCCTGTATCACTGTAATAAGTATTGTAACCGAATAAATGTAATTGTCCATTATGTTAGAACTGTAATTCCACCCTCGTATTGCTTTCCAGTAATTTCGAGAAGCAGAAAGTACTAGAAATATCTTGGAGGCCGGTTGAAAACTATTTAAGACCGAAGAGAGATCACCTACTCTCAGTTGCTTAGTTATAGTTGTTGGAAGTTGTAGTTCCGCGAGAACTGAGATAATTGCGAGGTAGCTTTCTCTTTAGATGCGCTTTGCACTGCATTGTGTTTAACGCTCTTAAGTGTAACTACCGATTATAATGTGGGAGACTGTGAACACTTGACCGAATATTTCTGTTGAAAATTCCCAGAGTTCCGAAATATTTCTTTTCATAAAAATAAATTTTTATTAACCTATTATCGGACTTGTGCATTTAGTCTATTACGAACTCGCACACACGCAACAATCTGCTAATATTTTTCACTGGAATTCATTGCAGCCTATTGGAGAATTTAAAAGCATGCCAGAAACGCCTTGCTGAGGAACAAAAAACAATTCGAGTGTTAAATAAAGAACTTGCAGCTATGAGCTTTCGTCTCAATATTTTGAAATCACAGAAAGCGAAGCTTGAGATCACCACAAACAGCCAGCAAGAAAAAATTGACTTTTTAAAGGTAAATTTACTCGCAATTTGTTTAATTTTATGTAAATCGTTCAAGAGAGAATAACGCTAAGAAACAAATTTTTTTTTTTTTTTTTTTTTTTTTTTTTTTTTTTTTTTTTTTGGTCACACACGAATGAAATGTATAAATATGGCAATATTTTTTAATTTGAAATATGCTATGAAATCAGAGCATCCTATCAAGCAAGGATGGTCGAATTTCGATATGAAAACAGAAGTTTCTTTCAAGCAGTAATTTACACAGTTAAAAGTAATATCAATGTACGTAAATTCACAGCGTCAGAAAATCATCTAAAAAACAGAACTGTACTTCTTTCTACTGCATTTGATCCAAGGAACTTTTCTGCGGTCGAAAGCAGAAAGCATATTAGGACTTCAGTAGCCTTGATATTCTTTCTGATAATCAGAAATTTCCCA